GCCCAGGATGCACCACGTGGAGGTAAGTCTATCACACACCTCACTCATCAAGTATTAGGTCATAACAATCAGTGCACCTGTCCCAAATTATCTTGAAAATCACTCCCACTAGAAGTACAATTTTTCCCTATTCGGAATCTCAAGGAAGGCATCTTTATGATTGACGAGATGCAAGTGAGCTTTTCGTGAACCGGATGAGATTAAGGACAAAGAAGTGCATACGGAAACTGAGCCTCAAGAGATAGTCATAATTTCTAAGAAGATCATCCTCAATTTTATTTTTCCTTCCACCTTTATATAACGATATTATTTACCTTCCTATTTTTACTTCCAAATGGTATTTCTAGCATTAACATCAAATGAAAAGTTTTACTGATCAGACGATCTTAATAAGGGCTTTGAAAACATACCACCAAAGCTGGGTTACTTGACCGAATTGTAAGTTAAAGCTTAATTCCATGGGTCAAAAAGCCTATGCTATCAGTAATATATACTTAAACTACTCTACTGGAGATGAGGTATAATATGACTGTAGTTGCGTAATCTCAAAGGGCGGATTAAACACTGAGCAAAGGCGCTTCTCTTTGCGTTACTGAGAGATAAAAACAGTTGTGGACTGTGAAATTTCCTATCTGCACGATAGTTCAACAATGAGATGACTTCCTTTCCAGATATGAACTCTAGAAAAGCAAAGCCTTCAGTGACATTTAAATATTGTGAACAGGATATCTGAAATAATCGATTCTGTCTCCTAACAAGGACATTTTCACCATATTCTTTTTTACTTTATGCACTGTTGAGCGTACAACGCTACCAAGGTGAGGCAAAGGAAACTCATTCGTCACAGAACATTCGGAAAAGTCCGGCTATGAGGCCAACCAACCAGAAAACGATTTTCTACTGAGAGGAGAATAGCATCAAGTGTAATTAATTATTAAGCATGCTGCTATTTGGTTCAGCACAAAACTCTAAAAAGCCCTATTCGCTCCACTGATTCTATGTCCTCAATAGCATTGAGGTGACTTAGTCTATTCTGGGAGCACATTTTTATTTGAGAATTTCGTCCGTAAAGATAATTAAGACTTTCGAGACCCATTTGTATAGTATGTTCTCCAACGAACAAAATATCAGCACCTCGGTGATACTTACTGTAAAAATACCAATGCTTTTTAAGAATCACACAACGAAAGTTATAGATTTACCCTGGGGTGAGCGATAAACTTACCTCCACTTGGTGTACCCTGGGCAACGTGTACTCATGCGGCAAAAAAGTCTATAAACCGGCAGTTGACTTCTGACTTCAAACTACCATCACCACACTGTACGTCATATTTGACTACTTTCACAGTACTCACCTCACCTTTCATTTACCTTTGTGTCTATCCCTTTTACATCTCTAAAACACTCTTCTGTCCCCCCCCTCTCGACCTTTTTTCGATTTGATGCTCCTCTCCCTCTGTGAAGCCTGAAATCAACTAAAGGGCTAGTGATAACTATCATAAAGCCTGCCATTTGATATAAATATAGATTTACCCTTTATTGATTACCACCAAAAGCAAAATTACATTTGTCTTTCTCAATATCAGATTGCAAATGACATTATATGCAAATTTCAAGTGTTCTTGTCACCAGGTAAAGTAACTGCTAAAGAAACTAAAATCCGAGATCACAGAAGTCTTTGAAATTCTGTAGTTGCTATATCTTTAAAATGTTTATACTGATTTCCCAGTAATAAGGCATGACTTTTGAAAGTCAATGGAGAAGTTTGAATTAAAAATTAGTTTAAAAAAGGCGCCAGTAGATTGCTCTAGCCATATGCACATGTCAACGCAATCAAACATGAGGAAACTTATTATAAGACAATTATTTTCAAAACAGCTTATGAACTTTCCTCAAGCCCCTACTCTTTATTTAGCTAATTATAAAACCTTTTAAACAAGTATTGATGTAAATGTGTGTTGTTTTAGTTAATATTTTTTATTATAAATGCCCTATGAACTGTTGTTGTTCTACAACGGAGATTGGTGACCTGTTGATTTTACTAACAAAAGTGCTAACGTGGGATTAAATCGCTATAATATAAAATTTAACTAGAAGATGGTCGTATTACGTGAATATGACACCGCAAATATCGGTGTTTCTTCAGCTTCCAATTTCTCAGACACCAAACATGAAAACGACGGTTCAACATCAACTGGATACCTTCTGTGAAGTTTGTTATTTAACCTGAAATTAAAATTAAAAGATGTTACTAGCAGATTTAAGTAGAAGTGGTGATAGAGTAGGCATCTTACAGTATCCTCGAGGGTTTCACTTTTGTCTGAGTTTTGTGAATTTGGGGTTTGAACATTTTTACTCTGTGCATAATATAAAGACATTCCATTGATTCTGCTCATATTACTTATAAAGTCAAGCTAGCCTCTTTGGACTCACTTAGCATTCTGCGCACCATATCCGGAGGATTTGATTTTTTGGTGGAAAGCGACTGGACGATTTAAATGATTGTCACTCGAATTATTCTTATTAACAAGACACCGAACACCTGGTCTTGCATTCAAAACAGACGACTGTTTTGCTTTAGAAGCATTAGAAGAGTTGTTATGAGCGAGTGCTTTGATGAAAGGACTCAATTCATCCAAGGCAGTGCTGAAATACAAAGGGGAAAATAGTTACAGACTTGTGTTCTTTTTATTATTACGTCTAATGATGATGTATTTGATCAAATGACTCAGACAGACTTCGAAATGAGTGCATACTTGGACAATTTATTCCTGTTTTTTTCTGATAGAGCTGTGGGGAGTTATGTTATGCTAGGTTCCTCGCTAATAGCTTCGTAGTCATAAAAGACGCCAACTTTTCTGGATGACATGAGCAACCACAGAAATCGATCAACGGATCAACGAAATCTGAATTGGTGTCTTGACTTCCTGCTTGGACCATTTTTGACCCCCCCCCCCCCCCCCCCCCCCCCTCCCTCCCTCCCATTGGATATGTAGTTTCTCTCTCAAAAGTTAATCTGGTATTTTTTTCGCTGCGCAATAAAAAAATAGTGGTTTCAAAGATAATTTATTTGTGATACGTTCTAAATATTTTATGCTCTTCATATACTCACTAAAACTGTAAGTTGTAATTTTTATTTTTTTGTTCTACTCAGTTGAACTTAAAGGAGAGTTACAATTCACAATAAAGGGTAGCTACAAGGAATTCCCATGTCCATAAATTTTGTTATGATATGAAAAGTAATGGCCACAAATTCGAAAATAACAACATTTTTGTCAGAAAAATACTTTTGCCTCTCAGTGTGTTAATATTGCAGAGGGCTTAGAAATGACAAGGATAACGATGACTATTAAGGTTTAGTCGGGTGGATTTACTTAATATCCACTGAAATATCTAACTGTTGATGAAGAAGTTGACGTTCAGTGAGCTAGCTATATGTTTGTGGTTTTACAATCTGTTTTCAATATTTTTTTGAAATTCTTAGAAATCAATGCTTTTGTATAACAAGCAGAATTAAGAAGACCAAAATACTGAAGACAGTAGTTTTTATTTCATTTTGAATACTGTTTAAATGCCGATCGTCATTTTGGCAGACCGATATAGCAGAGCCAGTAAAGGTTGAAATAATAAATAGGCTACATATGCCGTTTTACTACGCTTAAGGGTAAATTATCTTCAGAATACTTCCTCCTAATTCTTACATAATCAAAATATAACCAAATATTATGCTACTTAAAATTTAGTGGAAGAAATGAGTAGTATGCTTACGCAGCTAAGAAGGATAGGGCTGCAAATCCATTTTCACTGATATTGGTAGCAGAGAATTCATTATTGCAATTGGAAAATACACTTTTATCCATAGAGGCCAGTACATATCTATTATTGAGTGACTGAAGAGCGAGGACAACTTCACGCTAAATATTGTAGTTTATATAATTTGTTATACTTACGTCTGACGTGAAAACTTTTGCGGATATTGCATAGTACCAATTAGATTCAAAAAAGTTAGAAAATGGGATGGAAAATTCAAAGCTTCGTGTTCTTGGATTTAGAAGACAGATAGCAGCTGATGTAACAATGAAAATGCTTAAAAAAGAAGAAAGTGGATAAAAAGTACTTTGGTGTTGAATTAAGATCATACCTATCCGTATCCGTTACTATAGTCATAGCCAGAACTTCGGAAGCCGCCTTATCGGAAATCGATATTGAGGAAAATGATTTTGTAATATTCCATTTCGGCCTGGATGATTCTAACAAGATTACTATTTTTGTCAATGTTATACCTTTCTGTGCTTTCGTAAGCTCATAGTTTGGAGAAGACCTGGGAAATGTGGGAACTGCGGCTAAGAACTCGGGTTGACTTTTAGTTGATGTATAAGAAAGTGAGAAGAGCTAATTGAATATGAAAATGAAGAAGTTTTACCTGACCATCGCTTGTCCCATAATACAAAACTCTGTTATGAAATGTAAGGGAGGAAAATCCACTCAATGTGATAGATGAATGCAATGCTAAGCTATCTGTCCTCCATAAGTTAAGCAGATTTGACTCATCAATAGAGCCTACAAAATCATTCGCAAGAAATTTTGCCAACATAACTTTATATTTATGCGTCCCAAGTTGAATATTTTGCATGTGATCATCCAGATAGCACTAGAAATTCATTATGGATAACAATTTTTATCTTGCTAGATGTAAAGCAGAACCAGAACATAAAACAATCTTCATTTTTAAGACATCAAAATCGAAATCAGAAATGGCTTTCCGATGTATTTCGGAAATACACCTATAGAAATAAAAAATAACTATGGAATTACTTGAATTGTATATATTCATTTGGACATAATTGAGATCTTCTAATTCTTAAATAAAAGCTATCGTAGGTTGTGATATAGATCATATTTCCAATTTCATGGATAGTAACAATTTTGATATCATTTGGTTCACAACACACTCGTATTGGATCAATTCCTGACAAAAATTTTAGTTTGTCGTGCAGACATAACTGCTGAATGTCAAATAAGAATACTGTCCTCAGGTCATTTGGAGGGATAAAAGATAAAAATTGTTTGGATATGCCGATAAGCTCAATTTCGTATCCATCATAGTGCGTATTTATAAATGCCATGTGTTTAGGCAAATCATAAATCCGCGGTTACTTCAGTAAGGTACTGATTGGCCAACGTTAAGGTAAACATAATCTGTATTTAAGTTGACCTTAAAAGTAGTCCTGCCTAACGTATATTGAACTACCTTTTATTATAGAATTTCCAACTTTGTACTTCAATTGACCATTTATATGGTAATATATGTGTTAATTATAGAAGACTAATCTTGTCAACTGTTAGTTCTATAGACGTTAAACGTCGAAAGCAAAGTCAAATATTAATGAACCTAATTTCATTTGATTTCATTTCCCGGTTGAAGTAAAGATTCGTATTCAGAATTTGGATTTCTCTATTTATTCTTTCAATTTTAATCAATGATTGCCCACAATATTCAATTCTTATAGACCAGGATTATTTGTGTATTGCTATTTCCCTTTGTAATTTTTTCCGGTCTTTCAACCACAAAAATTTTTTATAATTATAACAACATCATAAATAACATAATTAGAATTGTTTGAAAGGTTTACGTTATCCTGTTTATTTTACCCCTCGTTTTTAGTTGACACTCTAGTATATTATTCGTTTTGACCCAATAAATCATTTATAAATGTTTGTTGACTTACCTTGCTTAAGTAAATTATTTGATATTTTAAGAAATACATATCTACATGAAACTTTCTTCAGATAGCTTTTGAAAAAATAATGTGTCTGCATGCACAAATGCATTTGTACCTCTATAAGGCAAATCGAAATACCTTTTTATAAATGACTCCAATTTCAATAAAATTAAAGATATATTTTCTTGTAATGTCTTAATTATAAATGAAATATTTATAAGCGCACAAATGTAACATCGACAAAATAGTTGTGGCTCTAATTTAAAGTAATTTAGATGTCAATGCGAATTCTTGCCAGTAAGTAGAGACCTCAACACCCGATACATTACATAAGTAATCGTGAAAAATACATGGAAAATGGGGAATTATTTTTAAAATATTATAAAACGATCTTGATTTGTCCAAATAAGCACCACAGTCAATAGTTGTTTACCTTTCGTGTGCTAAATGCATCGACACCAAATTTTTCACAAGTAGGAATAAAACTTTATTTCAAAGTCGCGTTTATTTGAAATTAAATTATAACATACTAATAAATAAGGTCTTAAAATGCAGTTCTACTTCAGGATTTCTTCTTTTTTTATGCGCATATATGGGCACTCACAATTGTGCACAGTAAAGTGAGTCAATAAATCAGCCTTCACAATTATGATCTTGTAAGCTGGGGTGTGTGGTACGTCAGCAAAATAAGACTGTATTTCACGAGAATGTGCACGCGGAGATTTGAATTTAAATGATTTTGTTTTATTGGGAGAGAAGGTATAGGGAAATGAATACTAATAGGGAAGAAGGAAGGGAAATGCGAGAATTAATCAGGCACTTCAAATTCTAGTCATGGAAGATTTGAGTAGCCATAATATCTCCAGTCGAGAGAGTTTGAACAGCAATAGATGACCGCTCACTTAGGGGTGAATCGGCTGTGGCTACCGAGGTCTTCTTCACTTTTGGTGTAGTTGAAGTAACATAGGGTGGAAACTTCTCTGACAAACTACCATGGCCAGAGAAATTGACACTAATGTCCTCTATACAGCCGGTAATACTTGTATCCTCGTCTGAAACATCGTTGAGAACTCGACTTTTGTTGTTTGTCGTAGTCGTGGCAGAAGCCTGATTTGGACCCAAGATACGTTCCAATTCCGCCTCCACGTCGTCAGAAAGGAATTTGATGTCATTTGCGAGGTTTAATCCTTCGGCACGAGCGATTGCCGAAGCTTCTCCCAATTCCTCTTCAACTTCTTCCTCATCTACTAAGCCATAATCCGAAGAATCGGAGTCAATCTGCGTCTTTACAGCATCATTTGACCCTTCTCCTTCACCCCGCTCGTTGCTAGCGACATTTTCAGTTGAGGCGCTTCCAACATTTGAATGAGAATTACCAGTTCTAGAGCTACTTCGGTCAGTGAAAGCACTTCCACTATACTTCTCCATGATCTCCTTGTCACACTCTTTCCATACCTGAGTTGCTCGCCATTTTGCACGAGACTCTTTCGGTGCGAGAATAGCATTGAAGTAGAGGGTTTCGTTGACCTAAAGACCATCAATAAGGCAGTGTAGCTGTTGATAAAAACTAGTATAGACTGGCATGTACTTGGAGGACTAGTCAAGATACAATATTGCAGTATGTGGGGTGTGCAATAGACCTACCTCCACGTGGTGCACCCTAGGCAACGTGTACTCATACGGCAAAAAAGTCTATTAACCGGCAGTTGACTTCTGACTTCAAGCCACCATCACCCCACTGTATGTCATATTCGACCACTTCCACAATACTCACCTCACCTTTTCTCTACCTTTATGTCTGTCTGTCTCTTTTACATCTGTGAATCTCTCTTCTGTTCCCCCTCTCGACCTTGTTGTCACTTTGATGTTCCTCCTCCTCTCTGCGAAGCCTGAAGTCAGCTAAAGGGCTAATGATATCTGTAAAACCGTCTATCATTTTAAATATATATTGCAGTATGTAAAATGACCGGTTGTTAAAAATTAGCTCAATAAAAAAGAGTATTTTGTCAATGATCTCAACTAACATTCGAAAACGAAATTTGCGGTTTGCTAGCGTATGCAAAGCATTTCAATTTTTCATACTGATACATATCTAGATAGCCACTAATGCATTTATAAATGTGTTAACAACTGGTAGAGTCATTGAAAAATCAACCGTTAAAAGCAAAGGTTGCAAAGGAATAATGATTAAGTATATGCCACCCAAATCTAGAAGATTTTTAAAAATATTGACTATTACAAGATAAATAATCCAAATCAAAGTAGGAATGGGAATTTAGTTAATGAGCACTTGATGTCAGCCTTAACTCACCTCTACATATGAAGTCCTAATCTTAAATCTTCACCCCAACCGCGCGAACCAGCAATAAATTCACTTTATTTTTGCAGAAACAGGAGTAATAAAACAGGCACTTAATAATATTCTACAGTTTATTATCTATTTACGTGCATAGTTAATTAAAAGAAGGCAATTTCGATAATATTGGCATAAATCTATATCCGCATCATAATATACATTCAAGTATCATTGATTTTGAAAAAAAATAACAGATATAAATTTATTATAGTTTATTTAAAGAATTTCACTGTATACGCATTAGTGCTTGCCAGCTGCTCTTTATTTTCTACAATTTCTAAATAAGTAAGGTGATATCTTTGCAGACGTTTTAGACGAGATGCCAGTTTGAGATAAACTTAAATGCTTCGTTATAATTTGCACTTCATTCCACTGTTTTAACATCGAATTAATAAAAACAAAATGCACTTTGCTTGGCTCATTTTTTATTTAACTATCATAAATTCGGAAAAAAGAAAAATGAGTGCTGAGATTGGAGCGACCTTGGGACCATGTCATGGATACTTATCGATTTTACCCAAATTGTTGCCTTCTTGAAGTGTTCTGTGTTTACTCAACCACCCAACAACAGCTTTGGCTTGATAGTCTCTCTACTCTGTTTTGTTAATACTTTGTTGAAGTAGTGAAGCAAGTAAAGACAATGCCAAAGAAATTTTTCATGCTCTGCACTGCTTTTATAAGTCAAAACACCTCTAACAGTCTGGTGTGGATCATTAGCTGAGCTTGTTGCTGCGTCCCATCAAGATTTAAGTATATTAAAATGGGAAAAGTGAAAATTCTAGAAGGCACCAACTTTTACAGTGACTTATACTTATTCCCGTCGAGTCTGTAATAATGAAGTTCTTTCAGGCTGCTTGATTCACTGTTTATGTTAAATGCGTTTAACTAATCATAGTAATAAAACTACTAGACTAGATAATGCATGAATGTTCGAATGATGTTTCACTTATTGATCACGCGGTATAAAATTTCGTTGACTTCTGTTAACAGCATGAGCTTTGTTTCAGTTTCAATCAGCAAGTACATTAGTAAAAGAGAACGCGGCAAATTTTTCTTCAGAAAGAGGGTATGGATAGAGACACAGTTCACAGGTGAAGCCCACCTACATTGATATTTGCTTGGTGTAATACATTTAAACAGAACCACAACTGAATTCCACAAATGTAGATCAAATGTCAAGTGAATATGACCGCGTTGGAATTTGGGGGTGAGGTCTGTGGCCATGCACCCTGCTTTTCAACCTTGATGCACCTTCTAATTTATTAATTTGACCATTAATTGGCAAATTAGAGAAAATAGCAGCCTTGAAAGTGTATCTGTAGTATCCAAGCTCTCAGTACCTGACTATTTGGTAATCTTCCCTTGTGACAGGGTTAATTGATTAGGATCATTCAAGTCCCTTTTATTAGGTGTACTTTGTTTTTACGTCCAAACTATTGTTATTTACAAATTATAATAAGATAGATCTGAACGAGACCTGTTCTCTCTGGCGTACTTTCTGAGTTTTTATTGTTGTAAAGTTAAAATATAATTATTCTCTGACTGGAGTTAATCTTGTGCTCTGATAGCGACGCTCCTTAATCCTGTACTTGGAACTATCAAGTTTGATTCAGAAGAGAGTGCGAAATTGATGATACTGGAAGTAAGAATTGTTCCTATAAAATGCATAGCCGAAATGAAGAGTGGTGAATGAGACAACCTTTTAATAAGAACAGAATGGATGACTGATAACAGACTTGAAGACCTCCTAGGGAAGGCTAATCGTTGGATCACGCATTTGCAGAGTCAAGAAGTGTGGAAAGCTCGCTCAGCACACCCATTTGAAATTGAATGGTCAACCTTCAGCTTGACTACGACTTTAGATCATTATAAAATGTCTTCCGAGTTCTCTTTTCCTTGAAAACGTTTTATACGTCGTAAGCTGAAAGTAAGCCTACATGAATTAGTGAACGATGCTTGTAAATCGAATTAGTCTTTATTAAAACTGGTCTGTCCTGGCTAAAAGACCCACCAAAGTCTATTCCAGTCTATCAAACATTGAAAGAGTAAAGTTACGGGTTTAAAGTGGCTATTTTTCAGAAATTTAGAAAGTTAAAGTATAAAAGAGCTACTGGTCACCTCATCTCTTTATTCTATTGCTGAACACTTCTGTGGAGTTGTCTAGATTTGTATTGTCACAGCAACGACTAATTTCATTAACCAATAAACCAAAACTTTAGTATACTCTGAAGCTTAATGCTTAGAGCCGTTTATTCATTTGCCTGTTGGCGCCAACCGCAGATGCATAAATGTTGCCTAAACCAGGATGGAATGAAGAAAAAGGCAAAGATTCAATCATGTGCTTAACTATTGCAAAAAATTGACTAACTTTCGATAATAGTTCAAGTAAAAATCTGTACATTTGGGTCAAATAATAAAAAGCATGGCACACCTATGCGGGTTGTTCAATTGGCTAACCAACCACGGCAGGTAATTGGGATACACGGCCTCGCCAAATGTGCGTGTCAGCATGGCATGGATCGATACAGTAGTGCGCAAAAAACATAGGTGTAAGTGAAATGACCGGGACAAGCGAGTTATATGCACGATACCTCATTTAAGTGACCTGTACGCAACCCATTAGTAGTAAAACTCAGCTTATATAAATATAGCAATAAAATTTCTTTTCTAAAATTAATTAATGTGCAGACTTAACTCGACATTTTTTACTAAACCAGGACAATTTGAAGTGCAATGGGTAACCAGGCTGCATACCGACCACCTGATTTAGGGAAAATAACTTAGAATTAGTTAATTTTTTTCTGATTGCTGCAGTTCCAAGTTTATGTTATTACGTCCTGTTTGCCTGATTGACCCCGAAAATGGACAAATCGTAAATCTTGTACTTCCCTAAAAAGCATTTTCCTGAAAATGCATAAAACGATGACCAGATGATGTTCTACTGCTTGTAATTATCATGTCTAAATTAAACTGCAGAAAATCACTAACTTACTTTGAAGTGTTTCTGGAGATCATCCACATACTTGAGTATCGACTTATCGAAGAAGACATGTTCGTGTTTGCCCAGATCGATAATTCCCCAGAGTTTAGCCACGTGGAATACTCGTCCACACCGATTAGTCATAGTTCGAACCCCTGAATCCAACGGTTTGTTTCCAGTAATGACGATATTAATCATTTTGAGGACACGTCGATTTGTAACTACAGTCACCGGTTGAGTGGTATCCATTCCATCCGTGGATTCGTGAACTTCGAAGAAGATTGGATGCTGAAGGATGAATTCTGCAAGTTCAACTTTTGTCCAACCAATGACACTCTGAACAGTTTCGGGTGCTTTAGCGGATAGTATTTGCATGAGTTGCATGTAGGAAAGCCCCGCTTGTCCTGGACCTCCCCCCTTTTTGGCTAAGACTTTTCGAAGGAACATAATTGCCCGATATTCATTTGCAGTCATCCGAATACAGATACTTCCACTTGAACAACTTGTGTCAGTTTCTTGTCCTCGACTTCTTCTACCCGGTTGTCGAACCGAAGTACTTAGAGTCTCAATCGGAGAAGTGTTATATCTTACTGAATTCTGACCACTTCCCGAATTCTTAAGTCGGTTACTATTCATTGCTGAAGTGGTTAGGCTTTCAAGATCTCGACCAAGGAGAAAATGTTCAGATCCACTCGGAGGGTTTCCAAGACGTCGAATAGGTGCAGATACAGTAGCTGATGAGTTTTGAGACAATATGATGAGAGATTTTGGTCTAGAGACCTTTTGGGCATTGTTGAGGCCGCTTGCTCCAATACCTCCACGAAGATTCAGAGTAGAGAGACTGGTGGATGATTGGCTATTAATGCAACTGCCCGCGAAAGACTTCGGTCGTTTAGATGACAGAGACGAAGGAACAAAGAGGGGATCTTTGAGACCAACTAGATCACCTTGGACCTCAAATACATGAGGATGCTTCAGGAGGAAGCGTCGAAATTCCAACTGGGGTCCAACAATTGAACGGACCTCTGCGGAGGCTTGCGAAAGATGGCCCGCCAAACTTTTAATTGGGACCCATCTTTCTTCTCTTCTACTCAGACGCTGCTGGAAAAATTTGACAGCTTCTGTTTCCAAGGCAAAGTTCGCCATTTGTGGACATGATGAGACTTTATTTCCCGTTCCCCGAAAGAATGATGAGTTATGATCACTGGAGCAGCAACAGTGACTGGTAGCAGTTGCGGTGTGTGCATGCTTGAGCATGTTAGGGTTGAATCTCTGCCCACGGTAATGACCATGGTGGTGTCCCATACAGTTCATTTCTGTGAATGGACAATGAACAACAGTCGTGGCCGCTGTTGTGGCTACATGAGCAGCCATTGAACACATCTCACAGATGTGAGAGTTCCTGTTCTGCGCGGCCGCTGCTGCTGCAGCAGCTTGAGCTCGCAAAATTGGAGGCTGGTAAATTCCAACAGGCTTTGCTTCATTCGTTGAACTACCTCCATTGCTAGAGCTTTTAAGTGATGATTTCAAGGGTGTAGCCGGTGTACTTGCTACTGCATCATTTGACGACGCACTAGCAGTTCTTTGTTCTGGTTTGGTCACCGATGATATAGACGAATATGTGTTTGGAGGATTTTGTTTAATAGAGAGATTGTCCATATCAATACTGGCTTCTGAAATTTCATCAAAACCGGGCATTTCGATGGCCACAGCACTGACTAGTCCCGTAGGTTTAACAGTGAAGAGCGAGGGATATTTGAGAAGGAATTCCTTCAAGGCTTCTACCTTTCCACCACCACAAGCTTCTCGCATTTCATTGGAGAAGGACTTGTTCGAAAATCGGGCAGCCAGCTGTTCAACAGTCAAAGGAGTTTCAGAATTCATGAGAACTTCAAGGAAATATAGCATAGCTTTGTGACTGGGGTCGTTCATCATTTTGTAGAGGAAAACCTCTCGGCGTTTTAGATAATCCAAACATGATGCGGGATCTAAAAGATGAATAATCAAAGACGCAAAGTTAGTATCTTCTAAAAATCAGTGTTGCACTTAGTAGAGACCTTGAGGTAATGTCGATACTTGACCCAAAAGGTGAAATTCCACCACCTAAGTCCAAAATATCGCTAACATTGGGTGAAGTCGAAATTCCAGGAGGTTGAATAAGACATAGGAACATTAATCTGGAGTTCTCTCCAGAATTTTACTAAAAGAATAGACAAATTCTGGAATATTTATGACCCACTTTTTTGGAAATAATTATTCGTAGATTTTGCAATTAATCTAACTTCTTATTTTAATTATGTGGAATGTGCGATAGACTCACCTCCACGTGGAGCACCCTGGGCAACGTATATTCATACGGCAAAAGTCTATTAATCGGCAGTTGACTTCTAACTTCAAACTTCCATGACCTCACTGTATGTCATATTCCACCACTTCCACAATGCTCACCTTACCTTTTCTCTGCCTTTGTGTCTGTCTATCCCTTTTGTTTCCTTGAATCACTTTTCTGTCCCCCCTCTTGAATTTTTATCACTTTGATGCTCCTCCCCTCTATGAAGCCCGAAGTCAGCTAAAGGGCTAATGATTACTATCATAAAGCCTGTCATTTGAAATAAATATATTTAAATTATGTTCTAATATCTGGATTTCTAATTGGCATGCCAACCTATCCTTGTTGTTCGCTGAACAAACGTTAAGCGAGGTTATGGTGCTATTTCTCGACCAACACTCGAAAGTATTTAAAAATCAATAAGAGAGAGACTTAACAATCTTTGATCGGGTAGGTTGACAAAGTTATTCAGTGGGGGGAGGAGGGGAGGGTGGTGTGGAGGAGTTAAAGGTCACAAAGCAGTAGACAGGCATCAAAGAAAATCAATACGTCACTAGTTAGTTATGCACATTATTATATAAAGTAGTCAATGCAAATGTTTTCCCTATATCATGCTATGGACCAGCTCTTGCTTGCACTTCAGCCAAATGGAGTAAACTAAATCAGCTCCAACAAATATATAGAAAATCGATGAACTTCACTCATTGAGTTAACGTGATCTTGGCGATTGAGCGTTTACTCTCATCTGACTCAATTCGTTTATTTCCTTTACTCCACAGTATAAAAACGTCTCAATAGGCATACAACTCACAACGCTTGCAACCCTGCTCTCATGCGTCACTGCAAACTGTTTCTGTTGGTGTTTAGTAAGACTCTATAATCAGCAACTGCCCTTCAGTCTGTCATGTTATGTGGCGAAAATGGTAATAAGTCAGTTTACTCGACCATTTTCTATAGCCGCTTAAAAACCTCACTAGTCCATACCCCCCNCCCCCCCCCCCCCCCCCCCCCCCGCCCTGCAACGGACACTTGACATCCTGACAACATCTACCGCTTTTAACTCTACGGGATCGCTTTGTCATTTCGCGTGTTTTGATGCCACACCATTATTGTAACTCGCACAATTTTAGGCTTAGCTACGGATAATGGAAATAATATGACACAGTAATTGGTTTGTGCTATTTTAAAATTTATCTTCACTCTTTTCTATTTCTTGCCGACCTGTTTATCTCCATGTCACAACTTGTGATTCAGGCACTTCACCTCCGATGCGAGGAAGTATATGCAACCGGCAACTACAATTGTCTAACAACAGAAATGTCAAAGATCTGATAGAATACAATTTTTTTGCTTCGTGACATTTTGACACGAAACTGCCATTGTTCCTAAAAAGCATCAAATTTCCACACTTTTATTTGAAAAAAATACTCCTCTTATTTTTCGTCAGACTCACTTGCAATTGGTAAGAACTTATGACAATTTAATAATGAAAATTTGTTTCAAGAAATTGGGAGAGGGGAGCACTTTATCGAACATCCACGTGGTTTCATTAGCCTACGCAGTCATAATGCACAATTTATGTCAAAATACCAAAGAACACAGAATGGCCAACTCCACTTAAGTTGTTTCATTTCGACTCTTCTGCCAAAACCTCTTTTCCTTCACGCTGTGGTGGTGCTGACCCCAAGCCCTGCAAACCCTCATTGTCTCCTCGTATTTCTTTCACAAATCCTCCTTCATTCCCTTGCAATTATCGTCCATTCAATTGTCGGTATTCTGATTTGGGAAAGGCTGTTTTTTTTCAACTCAAGAGTAAAAAGCTATTTGTAAGATAATGTCGCTATGCTTAACTTCTTTTGACTACCAATTTATCGGACTAGTTTAATTAGGGTGAAATGTGCAGAAGTTAATTATTTGAGAACAGGGCTCAATAATGGAGCTTATGATTTCTATTCTATTATGATTTAATTTCTTTAATTGGGAGGAATAATCAACATATTGTTTTTTCCTAAAGTCTGAACTGACAAATTAGAGGGATTTGGGGGTGGGGTGGGGTGGGGTGGGGGGGGGGATTTATTTGTCTAGGCATTCGCTTTCACTCCCCAAGCAGTTATTTCGAGTGGCAGGAATCTTCAGTAGAATTCTTTACACACATCTGCATAACAGCACTTTTAGATTTCCAAAACCGTTAATTCCTTGTAATAGTCATAAATATTTCTATGAATCATAGGAAATAAATGAGTCATATATTTATGGGAAAGTTTGTGGACGGAATTGAAATTTTGACAAGTGGAGAAGCAACCACACTAACATATTTATTAAGTGAAATAAAGAGAAAAATGAACTTAATCACTATATCTAAAGCAGACTTTTTTAAAAATTGAAAAAAACATTAAAATAAGGTCCACATTAACGTCAAGTTTTAAAAGACGAAAAAGGGGGAAAAGTGATTTGAAAAGAAATTCAACGGTTCTTTTTCTCTCTCTCTCTCTCTCCTTAAGAATAAGCATTTAATGCCTGATTTGTCAAACCATTAAATAATTTGTATCTACTCTGTCCGCATTTGGAAAGTAGGTTAATGGAAATTATCTTATTTAATAGGATTAAATCATTTTCCAGGGGAAAAATTAGTGCAATTTTGAGAGAAAAAAGTACATTCTGACAACCATCGTTCACCTTGAAATGGGTGTGAAGGTTGAGAAGTGGTAAATTTAAGAATAAAATTCGATCGGTTTCCGGCTCCCGATGTGATGTCTGTTTGTTGAAAATGGAGTCCCTCTAGGTAGGTAGGTGGTTAAAAAGGAATTTATGAATTCATGAAATTCTTTCCCAGTTCACTTCGACTGAGTCTAAACCGCCACGTTTAGCATGCCTTCAGCCGCATTCCACACACACACGCACACACACACTGGCAATGCACTAACCTATTTGATTTAAACTAACAGTTTTCAGATACTTAACCAACATATCGTTGAAATATAAATATTGCAAAAAAGTCATTGCATTTCGTACAGATGAACTGCCCTATGGGGAAATTATTATGGCTAGAACACTTGAATCGACGTATTTCTTTCTGGTCAGTGGTCCCTGGATCGAAATCATGTGGTCTAAAAGAATGCCAATTCCTCAGACAGAAAAATTCCATTACTCCTACAGTGGGCATTTAAAAAGCACTTTCATTCACTGAACTTGGATAGGAGGTAAACAAATTGAAACCGAACCTTTACTACAAACGTAAAAAGTTCTCCTATTTCTACAATAAACTTTCATTGGAAAAAGTACATTTAAGAAACCGGAGGCGAAATTGCTTAAATGTAAATTCTGGTTCACCACCTTAAAAATCATATTCTATTTCAGAAAAAATGCATTTTAACAGCGTGAACAAACTTCATTTAAGTTTGGGATTTAAAAATTCTTGAAACAAATTTAGTGGCCCACTTTCGTATCTTGTAGACTCTCATCTTAATTCAGATTAAGCATTTCTCAAACAATCAGGCATCCATAAAGAACAACTTCTTTATGACTCTAGTGGTGCCTTTTATTGATTCTTGGATCAAACTAATCTTCGGAACTCCTAATTGAATGCTACTTTCCAGTTTTAGTAAAAGAAATTTAAAAATAAAGCACCATTTAATTAATCAAATTTTAGAGCATTATTATTGCTTTAAAATAAGCAACTAAATATAGATATAAACAAACACTATTTATTTAAAGGGAAAAACACTTATTTTGATCAATAATTACTCCTGCTAATTTTGATGATTTAACCCTCTTAATGTTACACTTTTAATTTGAAAAAAATTATGAAGTGAAATTACTATGGTAAAATTAAATTTTGTAATATTGGAAGAATTAATTCACAAGATCCTAATAAATACGGAATATATTATTTCAATTTTATTGGGGACTATGTATTTCATTTCATCAGCAATTAAAAATGGCGCCATTGTTAGTTGCAACAAAATTTGCTATATGTTATCTGCCGTAATACATGTTTGGCTACGTTTTAAGGCAAAACGCGACAAGAGATGACCGGGGGGGGGGGGGGAACGACGATTAATGGCCGAATTTGAACAAAGAATGTGACAATGACAAAATAAAATGAAGGCGTTCTTTATCACTAACCTGTGATTTTGGAAGAGTCATCCACTTCTGAATCCGAAAGTTGATCAGCTTTGGCTACTAATTGCGACATTTTGGTTTTATAAATTCCTTCTTGAAGTTATTTTACTTTTCTCCTGATAATTCCTTTGAAATTTAATCCGAAACGCTGCTTATGCACACACTGATCCCCAAAGCACTAAACGAAAGAGACAAAACGAGAAAAGAAGCCTGCCGCAGTTATGCAGTTGGTTTGTGCTGTGTGCTTGTGTGTCTGAGTCACAGCGGATTTGGTGCATGCACGCTGGATCAACTCTGCACACACACGGGCGCACTTTCCCTGCCTGCGTGCTGCAAGCGATGATTGCAGGCCTTCCCCCCCCCTTCCCCC